AGTATAATAATTTAGAAGGTACTATAATTGTATTATAAGCATTAAATTATTACTATACTTAATTTTTTAGATTGGTTTATAATATACCCGTTAACGCTTTAGATAGATTGAATACGTAAATGAATATTAGGGTAGTAGTAGTTAGATCCTTCTAATAACCGGTATTAGAATTAATATTTTAATTATTATAAGTTATAAAGGCCGTTTGGGACGATTTTTACTTTTTCGAATTGAATAATACAATTAGCCTTATTAATAGTGAACAATATATTTACGATATTTATTATTAGGGATTGTAGCGATTTATATATATTAAGGAAAGTCTATAGGGCGGGTTTAAAAAAACTTATTAATATAAGAGGCGCTATAACCATTTATAGTACCGATAATAGTTATAATAAACTAACAATTCGTTAAAATACGCCCAAAGATAGTATAAATAAATAGGAATCCTTATTATAGGAGTAATGCCCGTCGGGTATTAATAAACGAAAGTTTTACGCTAGGTATTCAATATTACAATTTTTTCTTATTTCCTTTCCTTTCCTTCTTTCTAACTTTTAATTATATAGGGTAGACCGAAACCGATTAAGACGGTAATAAATCTCTATTAAGGAGGAATTACGAATTAATTAATAGGTAACGCTAGATTAGCTCAAACCGTTTACTACCTATACTATTATTTTATAGTCTTCTTTTTTATTTATTCTATTACGATACTAGATAAGGCTGTTGGCTATATGCCCCGACTATTTTTTAATTTTTGCATGTACCTAGCATAATGATCGTAACGATCATTAATTGGGGAGGGGGTATTGTGAGACGTTAACCCTGCCTTGGTCGGGACGACCGATAACCGGTAGGTAAGATATGCCAGCGGACCCAGGCAGGGCATAAAACCCAACCTGGGGAAAGCCTTAATATAGTTAGATTCTTAGCGAGAATAATACAATTATATCATCTGCATGCCTGCAAGCCGTTCATCTCACATTATATTAGTTGTGAATTTGGATTTATTAATAGAGTAGATTGAGCGGGGTATTTTAAACGATAATAAATACCAAAATATAACGGCGGCAATAGTACTAGCGATAAAATCTATACTGTGAGGTACGTATTCAATCTTACGGATTTGTTAGCGATGAGCAATTATGTTGCCTACCGCTAATTTTGGGTGCAGCTGACATTTGCTGATATCTGGCGACCCTATGTGGGGACGTTCCCCTTTAGGTTAGAGTCCGTGACTCTATCTGGGCACACCGTGACTTTAGCTGCCCCGGTGGCAAGAGCCTCACACAACTTTATGACTGCTGCAACGCGTAGTCCACCAACAACGACAACCACTCCATCAACTCACCCAGCAAGTGAAAAAGCATGAGCACCGCAGCGGTTCAAAACGCCCGGAAGCAGGCTGAGGCTCTGGACATTGAGGACTCTATCGCCTTCGTCCGTGATGAGTTCAACATTCCTACTAAGGCCCAAATAGCGAGCTCCCGCTTGGCCGACTCTCACCCAGGTTTGATCGCCAATCATGAACAAGAGAAGTCCCGCTGAGGCTCACCAAGATGGGGGCTAATGCTCGGTTTTAGCCGCCTTGCAAGCGTCTGAGGACGATGCCAAGTGCATATACCTCTGCGGCAATTCGCTGGGTGTGCAGCCCAAGAGAACCGTCACCCGTCTCAATCAGTATCTTACCACATGGGCCACTCAAGGAGTGCAGGGCCATTTCAAGCCTCTTGAAGAGTCGCCTCTCCCGACGTGGCTTGACGCCGATGCCAAAGCTGCAGAGCTTATTGCGCCCGTCGTCGGAGCCAATGTGTCCGAGGTGGCTGTCATGCAGACCTTGACTGCCAACATCCACCTCTTGATGTCTGCTTTTTATCGCCCCGATATCAATGGTCGTCACAAGATCATTCTGGAGAACAAGGCTTTCCCTAGTGACCATGTAAACAACCCAATCCTATCGGGTGTCTGTCAGACTGGGAGCTGGATGACTGACAAAAGAGTTATAGTTCGCGGTCGAAACCCAGATTCGTCATCATGGCTTGTCAACTGAAAAGTCCATGGTTCTGATAGAGTCCTCCTCCAAGGACAACATCATCAGCACCGAAGAAGTCTTGTCCGTAATTTCAGCTCATGCTGACACCACAGCTCTCCTGCTGCTGCCTGGTATCCAGTATTACACGGGTCAGCTGCTTGACATTCCTGCCATCACAGCTTTTGCCCACAAGCACGGCATCTTCGTCATCTGGGATCTCGCCCACGCGGTAGGTAACGTACCACTATACCTCCATGACTGGGGAGTAGATGCGGCGGCTTGGTGCAGCTACAAGTACCTCAACGGCGGGCCTGGATGTATCGGCGGTCTCTTCGTTCACACCAACAACAGCGTCGTAACCAAGGAGATCACGGATGAGAAACCGGAGGAGGGCTACAATAACCGCCTTGCGGGCTGGTGGGGCAATGACAAGAAGACGAGATTTGTCATGGCCAACAAATTCCACCCCGTGGCGGGCGCGGCTGGCTTCCAGTTGAGCAACCCCAGCATTCTAGATATCACCAGCCTGAGCGCCTCCCTGGAGATCTTTCAGGAGGCTGGCGGCATGGAAGCGCTGAGGAGCAAATCCCTCAAGCTGACCAACTTCCTTGAAGCTACTCTCGGTCAGATGAAGGAGGAAGACCGCGCTCACTTCCGTATCATTACCCCTTCCAAGTCAGAGGAAAGAGGCGCCCAGCTGAGTCTCATGCTCTCCGACGGGCTCCTAGATACCGTCATGAAGGAGCTCGAGGCGCGCGGGGTTATCGTTGACGAGCGGAAGCCCAACGTCATCCGGGTCGCACCCGCCCCGTTGTATAACACATTCAAGGACTGCGTACTGTTCGTAGAAGCCTTCTCAGCAGCACTGGAGGTGGCCAAGCAGCACGCACTTTAAGTGACTATACTAGGCCCTTTCGTGTATACAAAGTCACATGCTCCATTATGTTTATCCCTCCCACCTCTCGGATCTGTGAATAATGGAAACTTGATCTGGCCAGTCGGGCAACTTGTTGCAACTTATGCAGGTTTAGTCAACCCCGCAAAATGATGAGCGAGTAAGAGGATGGTTCCAACTGTTCGAGAACCGTGTGTGTGGCTTCCTCGGGCGGCTAAAATGCATCCGGATGCCTAGAACGAGAAGCATGAAGTCCCGGAAAGCACACCGAGCACATGGACAGACAGCATTACGTTTCTGTAAATAATGTTGGTGGCTAGGTCTATTCAGGAACGCCGTAGATATCGTTAAGTACATATGCCATGTCTCGGTACTTGGGGTCCCTGGCCAGAGATGGATTTAATAACTGTTGGCAATCAAAACTGACCAACTGCCATGTTCAGGGTTACCTTTTATCTTCGCTGGACTCCATCAATATTGAGTTCAAATCCACTTTACGGACAAAGCATTGATTTTTCAATTACTCTAGTCATATCTCTTTGTGTCCAAAGCTCCAGTCGACTTTCACTGCTGTCATGAAGTCGAACGCCGAAATTTCGACGTGAGATGCTATCCATAACATTACGATTCTTGTCCTTATATCCAGATATCATTATGACCTCCCATCATGAACTCAGATGGCCAAGCCAATATCCATGAATCCTAATCAAGGACAGCATCTCTACACTAGCGAACTGCCAAAAGTCACAATGACAATATGGTCTCTGAGAAAATTGTACTACAGCTGAGGTCCTGGTAGCTTGCATTTTAACCACTGACTCTCACATACCCTAAAGCAGTCGTTCTTCATCCAACAAGAAGTCAGAGATTGCACACCAGTCATTCTCGTCGTACTTACCTACTAACAATGGGGCGACGCATAACTCGCAACTCGCATCATAGCCAACAAGAAGATCACAGTGACATTAAGTACATGATCGACGTATGAAAATTGATTAAGGCTATATACAGTCTGAAATCTCGGATCTCCGTAGTTCTTACGGCACCGAGCTATTACAGCCCTAGAAATGACGAGAATACCTCTAGGACACATAGGGCTCGCTTATTGAATCCATTTCCCTATACTATATAGTATCCTAATCATCACTTACTTGGCCACCGGAATTCGAAACATAACCTCGATTTAGGCATTCTTCGTCAGGCAAAACGTGGGTAGTCGGACATTGTCATCCATAGTTCGACACTGACACGTCCATGTGGTACAACAGAAGAAGCGCGCGGTCTCACGACATTGCACCTGTGAGCATGCACAATCCTTCCCCGGAGTCGAACGGAACCGCTAAACGAGCTAAGTCGGAGAATATCAAGTAATGGTATGATAAACAAAAACCTAAGAATGTCCCAAGGCTGTGTCTCAGCTTTCCACAAGGTATGTTAGTTAGTCTGAAGCGAGTTCCGGTCACTTGGTCACGTCGTGGCAATAAAATAACGAGTTTCTATTTACTGACTAGGGAGCAAGTACACTAAAGAATCAACTTTGCCATCTTCTTCGACGTCCTGTCTACTCCAGGAATACCTCGACCCTCAATTGGGACCTTTTTATGTCACTTGTGATGGGCCTAGACTTGCGTACTTACCTCTAAGCGTGAAGTTCCATTCTAGGTACCGCTAGTCCGCTACCGCTTTTTGTGACGGAAGGCGAGATACTACCACGGGTGTGTCGTGTGACCTTTGTGCACCGGCCTTCGGATGACCTAGTTATATAGTATGCCGAAAGTCTTCTGTTGCAATGTTTGGTCAATGCTATGCCTTGCTCCTGGGTTTCTTTTAGTTTGTGACTGGAATTTGAATATGTGGAATCCCTTATTTGGGAAGCAAGAGCCAAGTGTCTTGAAAGAAGGATGGATATGGTCGCTGAGACTTCTCACTGTTCTTCCAACAAACCTGGCATCAGCTCTTAATGGGCGTGCTAATGTAGTCAGGTCAACTCTGAGAAGCGGGCAACGAGCCTATTTTCGGACATCAGTTCACACGATACCATTCACCATGGTACAACTGCTTTGGATCTGCCTGACGTCAAATTGGTCTGGTATCATTTCATATCTTCTGTCCGTGCAGTGCTGTCCCATATCTCAGAGACAACAAATACGATGAGAGGCCAACGTCTTGGCCTTCCTCATCACAACGCCGTTCCCGTCCGTTGTCTGTATGTGTATGTCCAGTGGTAGTAGATGCTTGGTCTTCGTAGTGTGTGCCTTGACAAGCAAGCCGCGTTTGTATTTTCACTAGCCTGGATTGGTTGCTAGCAGAAAACCCGCTGACCAAAGAAAGCAGAACCCATTTCCCGTTGAGACCGCCTTGAGATGCTCCCAGAATCACACATGACGAAAAAAGTGCCCCCTTATGACGATGAAGACAGGAAGATTTAGACCTCGGTGGTAACCTTGGCCTTGGCGTTGGTGACCTTGACGGAGAGCTGCTTAGCGCGAGCGATGATCTCGATGCGCTTGCGGGAAGAGACGTTGTGGGCGATCCTATAGTCAAGCATATTAGCGACAGTCCATTGCATCGCCCTTGCTCGTTGCCTCCATTGTCCATTAAATATCGCGAAAGCGACTCCACGATCCCGAATCCGACTTATGTCCCCAAGAAATGAATGGATATCGATGTAACGTACTCAGCAGCGTAGGTCTTGTTGTGCATGAGGAGGAGCTCGACATCCTTGACGTTGCTGACGAGGAAAGCCTTGTGGCCGGAGGGCATCATGTGGCGGGTCTTCTTGTTGGAGCCATAGCCGATCTAGAAGCGCGAAACAAGTCGCGTTTGGTTAGCCCTTTGATCGATTTGAACTTCCCAATCGTTTTCCCAACGATCACCCGCGGAGCGTCTCTGTCCAGGGGCTTGGGACAATCCAATCCTGCGGTTCCCGTCCAGATTCGCTCCGTCTTCTTCCACCACCGGATTATGGCCAAACGTACCGAGGGCATAGCAAGAGTGCCCCTGAAGCGACGGCGGACGCGGTTATCGATACCCTTGGGCTTGCGCCATGCCGAGTCCACACGCATAAAGCGATCACTCTGGTGGCGCATGAAGCCCTTAGAGCCTGTTCACCAATATTTCGTCAACATTCTAGTTCCACTGGTATTCGCATCGCTCTTTCGTCGATTGTTGTCGGGAAACGGCGGTGATGGAGTTGTCGGCCCTCGAGCTCGAGCAAGCAAGGGGATTTCTATTTTTTTTCTCGTCGGCTGGAGTCGCGGAATTGAGGAGAAACGTACGCTTCTTGACGATAGGGACGTGCTTCTTGGCGGCAACCATCTTGAATATGCTGTTAGAATTGCTTCGTTACTGAGAATACGATTGAACGAGGGTGCCTACCTTGACTGTCTGTTATCGAGTGATGGGGGACTGTTTCGGCGGGCAGCGTCACGGCGGGACCTGGGGAAAAAAATCGAGAAAGTGTAGCTGGTGGGCTTAGGGCTGTGCGAAATTGTTAAGGCGAGGCTTGGTACGCAGCTGTGATTCGCCAAAATTTTACTGGGGTGGGTCACCATCTGGGTGGCAGTTGTAAATCTTGGCAGTCAAGCCGCACCTGGAGATAGCGCCCAGCCGTCCGAGACCATCTCAGGAGCTGCCTCCCTCTTTCTTTGTACGCAGTGCATCTCGCCGGCCACAATTCTATTACCAACTACCTCTATGGACTGCACTTTCGATTCGGAGTCTTATGGCATACGTAAACCATTTTACTGAACTAGTACGGAATGTGTTGCGTTGCTGTCGTTCTTCGGCATTCGTGACCCGGGAACTCTGTCTTGATGAGAGTTCAACCTCCTAGAGGTAAAACCAAACGCATTGGATTACATGGATCCACTCGGGCGATACGCATCATCATTCACAGTTCAGCAATAATAATGGGAACGTTTGACACAACACGCAAATACATTCACCCCGATTCACTATCAACCAAACTTTATCCATCCGCTATCATATCGCTGGGTATTGAGTATACACACAAGTCTATGTGTCAAGTCTAAAAGATAGGGCTGATTCTGCCTGCTTGATGGGCAATACTGCTCGACGTCTAAAAGCATGCTTGCCTCACTAATGGTCGCTCAAGATATGTAGAAACGGCCATTGCTGCATGTTGACCAAAAACCTCCAAACCTGCCACGTCCTATGATGGTGTGAGCAAATGGCCTGCCGGATAGGAACTTGTAGTTCGCTTATCCAACCAGGCTAGGCCATGCTCCCAAGCATACTACTGGACCGCCGCCCTGCAACAAAGCTATATGGACCGCAAAAGGTTTGAAGAAAACGGCTACTCTGGTCGTGCGTTTCTCGGTGTGGCAGCTGGGCGACTGTCAAGTCCTGGACTGTTCCACTCGTTCCCAGCCACCCACGCCGAGTTCGATACTTGGCGCGTTGTGCTCGTTGAGGGACGATGGCGACAAGGACTTTGCCAATGCTCTAGGTATATAGCACTCCCTCCAGAGTGTGTGTTCCCTTACTGGGTAGCGCACTGAGGACCAGCACCCTCGTCTTCGTCATCATCTTCCCAGTCATTGCCGTAGCGCGGGTCACCTTGGTGAGCGCCCATCTAGGTTCAAATGTTAGCCACAGCTTCTCTCCTTATATGTTTGAAAGATCATCATACCTCTTGGATATCGGCACCGGATTCGTATTCAACGTCATCGATCTCCTCGGCCTCGATTGGCTTGGGCGGAGGAGGTAGGAGCTTCGCCAAAGCGTCATACTGGCTGTCGTCCTGCAACCAACCATCTTCAGGGAACTCGATCTTCACAACGAGGTACAGGTCGCCCTTCATATCACTTTTCTTGACGGGCATACCCTCACCGGGGACTTTGAGGACGTCGCCGGGACGAAGAACCTTGCCACGAGGGTGGTTGATGTGGATGCCTCTGCCGTCAAGGTGCTTAACGACGACACGTGAGAAGCCGCTCAGAGCCTCGATAAGGGCAACGTTGAGGTCGGCTGAGAGGTCATGTCCGATGCGGGTGAAGACGTCATGGGGCTCCTCGACAAGGTGGAAGATGAGGTCTCCTGGGGCCTGGTCCGGAAGCTGGTCCGCCTCTCCTTCCAGGACGATCCTATCGCCCTGCATGGAGCCGGGAGGGATGTAGAGCTCGAGAGCCTTGGTCTCCTTGCAAGTCCGCTTGCCCTTGCACTTCTTGCAGCGGTCCTTCTCCTTATAGTGCATGCCAGAGCCAGAGCAGTGATCGCAGGGAATAACAACTTGACGGGCCATGTTGGGGCCGATGGACTGGTAGGCCTCTACAAGACCGCGACCCCTGCAGCGCTCGCACTTGTTGGGCTTTACGTTCTCCTTAGCACCGGTGCCCTTGCACTGGCGGCAGACAACCTGCTTTTCGGCAGCGAACTTGACAGTCTTGCCCTTGTAGAGCTCCTCGAGCGTAACCTTGTAGGGCTGCTCTTCATCTGGGCTGCGCTTGGGGCGTCTAGGCATGCCGCCCATGCCGCCCATACCGCCCATGCCGAACATGGCAGCAAAGATATCATCCATGTTGGCGCCATGGCCGCCGTGGCCGCCTCCCCTTGAAGGATCGAAAGCAGCCATACCGTGGACGTCGTACATTTCGCGCTTCTCTTCGTCACTAAGAATCTCGTACGCCTGGGCGATGGCCTTGAACTTGACTTCGGCTTCGGGGCGCTGGTCCTCGGGGACCTTGTCCGGATGGTGAATCAATGCGAGCTGGAGATCGAAGAGTCAGCACAACATCTAGGAGCTTTTAGACAGGCGGTTGTGTGCGTGGTGATTTAGCCCACCTTGCGATAAGCCTTCTTGATGTCATTCGGGCTGGCCGACTTGTCGACGCCGAGAATGGCTACACGAAGCGAGTTAATACATGCCGAAACAGATTGCCGGTATCGCGGCGAGATGGTATTTAATGGCAGGCATACCATAGAGATCGAGGTCGCCCTCGTCGCCGCTGCTGCTGCTCATGGTGATAGCGAATCTGGGGTCCTTTAACGCTGTAAAGTCGTTTTCTCTGGTTGAAGGATCGGTCGGTATACCCCGTCAAGAATCCGGTTGACAAAAAGGGCAGCTCGCAAATGACGAAAGGCGGGGAGACTGTGGTCTTTGCACCAAGAGGACACTGGACGGATGGAGGAGGGAGGTTCCTTTTCGTTTTCCGTCTCGTTATGGGAAATTTTAAGCGGCCCCGCGTTGGATACCCGGCTCCCTTTTGGGTACTTCACCTGCTAGCTACTGCTGAGTCAAAGTTTGTTTGATAACCCACCGTCAACCTTTCAGGTTCTTTGCGAAAAGTGATCGAGCGACGGGAGAGACACATGTACTGCTGAGACCTTTGCCCCCAAAAAAGAATCGTATAACGACCTATGGAAAGTATGTCATGAAGGACAAATGCAGCTTCCCCTCATGGAAGGCGGTATCCATATCGCTGTGTTCCTGATAACGACGGTCGGGAAGCAATAAGGCGCACAGCGCCATCCATTTTAGCCCACCCGCGATTACCTTATTTTCTACACATGCGCGGGCATGCACTCCAGGTTGCCCAAACACCGACATCACTTGTTGTTCGCCTACAAGGCGTTCTGTCGTGTATGGCGGCTGGTTTATTTTTTGTAAAAAGTTGTGTTAAAATAACCTTAGGGGCGCTTCGTCATAAACTTCTGGGCGATGTTGGTATCGCTAAAGTAGTTTGATGATAACGATATCCATGTTACATATAGGTACCTCTAGAAGCGACCCTTGACTTTCCAGTCTTTTCAGAATTGGAAGTGCGATGAGATGCCAAGACTGCAGAATGACACCCCAGGGTCCACTTGAAGTTCGGTTCAAAATTGAGCGGGCTCCACAACCCCCAAATACCCACTTCTACCGCTGGACCATGGATCGCACCGCCACATTACCGACTACCGCAGTAGTAAGACTCCAGAACCGCTTCTGTGGCTGTAGACATTCTTGTTCGTGATCCAAACTCTCACATGTTATCTTGCTCCCTCCACCTTCTCATACTGTTAGTCTCAGCATCTGACTTCACAATTTCAAAAACCAAAAAAGGGAGGTGACAGTCTGAAAAATGAGGGGCATAGGGCTACTGTTGAGGAGGCCAGGCTGTCCTTCTCTTGCGAGTGTCTCAAGTCTTTCTTCGCGGCGTTTGTGGTTCTCATCGACGAGATCCACCCTCTGCCCACATCAAACGCAAGTTACGCAGCAACAACAAGGTGAAGGCGTCTTGAAAGGATCCAAGAAAAGACAGGCTGAGGATAAGTGGAAGCTGCCAGACTCACCGTGCCGTACCCGTTTTGCGCCCTCGCCTACCGGATATCTGCACCTGGGATCTCTAAGGACCGCTCTATTCAACTACCTTCTTGCCAAGGCGACCGGCGGCCAGTTCATTCTCCGCATCGAAGACACAGACCAGGTGATTACTACTCAGCACCTTGTACCCCAGGATCACAGGTGGTCAATTCGTAGAAGGAGCAGAGGCTGATGCTCTCTATTGTATCCGTAGACTCGCCTTGTACACGACGCTGAGCAGAGGCTATTTGATGACTTGAGATGGGCCGGCCTCTCTTGGGATGAAGGCAGGCAATGACGACCCATGAGTCTGCACTGGTCTTCTATACCTGCTTCTCCATGCTAACTCTGTTTGTTTTGTGAAAAGGCCCCGATGTTCAGGGACCATATGGGCCGTATAGGCAGGTAAGACGCAAAGCAGCACTGGTGTATCACGGGTGGGATTTCGGTTAACCATTTACATATGCCAGTCCGAACGGCTGTCACTTTATGACGAGCATGCCAACCAGTTGATCCGCGAGGGCAAGGCGTATAGATGCTTCTGCTCACCCGAGGATCTTGAGCGCCACAAGCAGGCCGCACACGAGTCTGGAGAGTCGACAGCGTATCCCGGCACATGCCGCAACGTCTCACTAGAGGAATCAGACGACAGAGCTGCCAAAGGGGAGAAGTATGCCGTGAGATTCAAGAGCAGCGACAAGCCCATCATCATCGAGGATATTCTCTATACCCGTTACCGCAAGAGAGAGCCCGAGGAGGACTTCATCATCCGGAAGCGTGATGGTTTTCCAACCTACCACTTTGCCAATATCGTCGATGACCGGGCCATGAAGATTACTCACGTCATTCGCGGCGCCGTATGTTGTATTTTCCTCAACCTACCAGTCATGTTTCCTATATCTGCTAACCCTTCACCATCCAGGAATGGCTCATTTCAACCCCCAAACACGTCGAGCTATACAACGCCTTCGGCTGGGAACCACCCAAATTTGCTCACGTCGGTCTCCTCGTCGACAAAGAGCGCCAAAAGCTGAGCAAGCGCCACAAGGGCGTCGACATGTCCTGGTACAAGGACAACCAGATCCCTCCCGAGGCTTTGCTCAACTTCGCCGTCCTGCTCGGGTGGAGCCAGAAGAGTGGTGAGCCCGACTTCATGACGCTCCAAGATATGGTCGACCGGTTTTCCTTCAAGTTCAGCAAGGGTGACATCGTCGTCTCTTTCGACAAGCTCCCCTACCTCCACGAGAAGCACTTTGAGCATCTACTCCGGCAGGAACCGCCCAACCTGCCGCGTCTGCAGAGCTACCTGATCAACCCCATCAGGGATATGATCACGGCTGTTGAGGACGCCCGCGCCGAAACCCCTAAGGGAGCCCTTGAGGAAACTACAGTTCATAACATCCCCCTCCCCTCCCTCGCCTCTCCTGTCCCCCAGACCCAAGAGTCCCCTGCTTCTGCCCAGGACTACATCCTCCGCGCCCTCCGCACAGCCAAGTCAATCAAGCCCGATCTGGAGCTTTTCCTCTCCCAGAACCGGTACGCCTTCTGGACCATCCCCCCCTCGGTTCTCTCCAAAAACTTTGACGAAACCCCGTCCCTCCAGCACGCCAAGCTCGATGGTGAGGAAGCCAGTCCCAGTGTCGTCATGCGCTTCATCGTTGAACAGCTCAGCGATATTGTCTCCTCCAAGGGGGAAGAGGGATCTCCGGAGGAGAAGAAGGCCGAAGTGGAAGAATGGATGGCTGAGAGGATTAAGCTGGTCGTGGATGCCACGGTCAAGGCCGTGAGCGTCAGCGACCCGGAAACGGGCGAGCCGATCAAGGGCGCGGGCGGCTACAAGTTTCTGCGGTGGGCGCTGTTGGCGGGCGATCATGGACCGGGACTGGTGTCGGTCATGGAGTTGCTGGGTAGAAAGGAGACGATGAAGAGGCTGATTACCTCGTACAAGGTTGCTCTGGAGAAGGAGAAGGCAGAGAATGGGGAAAGTGGTTCGGGCACAATGGATGCGGTGGCAACTGGTCTTGGACTGGCGTTGTTTGACCTGTTCTAGAACACAAAGGCAAGGGCGTATGGCATGTAAAATATCGGTAGTTTTGGGCGGATGGCTGTAGCTGTTGTGCCATGTATTACTATTTGTCGTTTGGATTTGTCCATCTAGTATTCCATGGCTAGTCCCTGGTTGTCTCTTCTCTTGGAGGAAAAGGGCGTTTGTTGACTATCATCTCCAGTCCGTCCATGCGGTCCTGTTGTCCCTAACGATTCTCATGCGCCTCCATAAATGCTCCCTGGGACTCTCTAATGTGGGGATATCTCTTTGGTGCTACCCATGCTGGCCTAATCGCATTTCCTTCCGTTCCAGAGACTCGCGCAATGATGTTCACCCTTGTCCTCACTGCAGCATCCAAAAATATCATGGTTTTTCAGGCTGGACACCCTCTGCCTGCCCACGACAGCCACAGCCAAACACTTTGCCTTTGACGTCCGCCGCCATCAGTCCAGACCTCTCCTTTGCAGCAATCTGCTTCACTTCGCTGAGCAATTTCTCTATGTTTTGATCGACCGCATCACTCTTAGGACCTCTTTGCCCAGTCGTTGAGAGCATCTCCAGCGATTTCGACGCCTTCGAAATGCGGGATCCCAAATCCACCATTTGGCTGCTCGTGTAGTCCCTGTTGGTAAGCAGCGGGTTCTGGGCCAGCGTCTGCACCCAGTACTTGTTCCACAACGTCTCCAACAGCTTGCTATCGAGTGTGCTCTTGAAGTGCTCAACGTCGAGCGCGTAGTATCGATGGCTATGAGCGCCAAAATCCTCCACCTTGTTCAGAGGGACGCTCTGTCCATCGCCCGTTGTCGTGTTGGTTGCTGCGGGAGGCTTGATCCCTTCTGGAATCGTCCTAAACGCGCCGATCTCAACCTTGTTCTGGCTTACTGTCCTGTCCGGGTCGATCACCACTGCGACGAACGGCTCGTTGAACTGCTGTTGTAGGGATTGGGTGCCGACGTCGATACCGCTTAGCCAACAGCCATAACCTGGGTGTGAGTGGTACCACCCGATAACGTTCTCAAGGCGGTTCTCCTCACGGCAGAGACGGAGATACTCGACCATGTACTCGTTCGCTTCGTCCTGGGCGTTGACGCGGGTTTCTGTGCCCTCTACCGGTAAACGATAGGCGTCGGTAATGACCATGGTGCTGCCCTCAATGTAGCCCTGCATCATACCCATGACCTCGAGATTGCCGCCGGAGCGGGCGTGCATGACCATCTTGATCATGGCAACGGAGGAGATGCGGACGGTCTTGAAGTATTTGTAATCGTTGGTCCATGGTCGCGAGTTGACAACGGCTTTGTGGGCTTCTGAGTCGTAGGCGTAAAGAGCATCGCGTTGGACGTCCACGAGGCCGGGATTCGGTGGCAGCTCTATAATGGGGATTAGAGGTTAGCTGCCGTGGGAAGCTAGATAGTGGCACACAAACGTTCATCACTTTGCGCCCACAGAAAACTTACCCATCGTGGTCAAACGGTTGCTCTCGCCGAGCTATTGTAGGGTAGTTGGGGTATACGCGAAATTTCGTGATCCTTTATGAAGATTGGCCGTGATAGATGTTGTGAGAGGATCGGATAACTGTATCAGACACAATCGAAGGAAAGTAGCAGTGTCTGTCGCGCTGATGATGTTGTGTGTAACAGGCAACGAAACATTCCAACTAAGCAAGCTGCAAGCATGCTGAGGCGAAAGCTCGATTGCGGCAGGCGGGCAGTGGCATTCGGCCTCATGTGGGTCAAGTTATGGTGGGGGTCCAGCCTGCGATGCGGGGGGTTAGTGAAGCTGATAAGCTTCTGGCGCCGCGGCAATCAGCCATCAAGGTTCTAGGTACTGTGCAGGCATCTACCTATCTATAAACAAAACAACAAAAAGCACTTCGTAGGCCGTGGAGCTCTTGACATCGAAGCCCTGCCGGGCGATGTCATCTCCTGACTCGGTGTACCAAACTGATGCACCAGCGGAGGAAGGGCCTTGTGGGTGACATGACCTGAGGACGGTAGTTGGAAAGCTGACCGTGGGAAGAAGATACGAAAATAGGACTCTGTAGGTAGGTAGTGTTGCAGCCGGGACAGCATCATCTCTCGCCATGCCTCATATAGCATTACAGTAAATCTCACAGTCGCACATCATCAAAAGACCAACCGAGACGCATCTTCCAAAATCCAGACGTCAGCTTTTCAATTATCAATACTACGGCCGTTCCTGGGAAGCCTACGCCAGGTAGCCGTGTTGTATCCACAGATATGTCTCGTCCATCAAGATGCCCGTTTTCTTTCCCCTGATACCGTTCCACAGCCCTTCGCGCATTCAACCTTCTCCATGTGCATTCCAACCCAGTCTCCGTTCCGTATACACCTTTAGTCCTTCTCATCGCTTGCCAGGACTGCCTTGATCATCGCATTACCTACCTCCACCGCTCCCTTGAACCTCGGCTCGAAGAAAGCCTGGGTAACCGCAAACCGCTCCCTCCACGTCTCGAATTGCCTCAGACCCACACACTCGGCCCAGCCCGCCGCCGCAATGGTGAACTGCAAGTCATCCCTTCTGAAAGTCCGATCCTCGATGCCGACCTTCAGGCACTCATCCAGCAAGCCCGGGGTCCTGAACAAGTGCTCGGTGACGCCCAGCCAGAGTCGGAACAGGGGAGTCGAGCAGATCATGTGGTCGTACGGCACGATGCCCAGAGCACTCCAGCAGTCGACCATGGCAAGAAGCGAGAGGTGGTTGTTGGGCAAGGAGGGAGCCGAAGGGCCGCCATTTTCCGGCTGGCGGAGGCTGAACTGGTCGAGCACATCGTCACGGAGGAGAGGTTTGCTCGCCCACTTGGGGCTTCCTTCGGCACCAAAGACTTTTTCCTTGGCGGCGTACACGCGGGCGCGGAGCTCGTCGCTATGACCCTCCAGCATAAGTTGGAACAGCTCGGTGGTGGACTTGGCGAACTGGGCAATCTGCTTGTGTGCTTCGGGGTTGAGGATGGCGAGGCCGGCGTAGACGTGCCACTTTTGGGCATAGATGCGGAGCATGAGGTTGATCTTGACGTTTTCTATGCCGCCGACATAACGGGTTCCCTCCCAGGGGAATTGCTTGGTTGCATGCCAGGCCTTGCCCATGCTGAGGAAAGCGGCGTGGGTGACGGCTTGGGTATCGGCCGTGATGCGGTCATGTTCATCGGCACTCAGGTAGACAACCTTGGAGTTAAGGCAGGAGAGTACGTGCTCAACCTTGGAGAAAGATTCGTCGGAGGCGCGATGCTTGATGAGCACCAGCGGCTGGCCCTTGGGATCGACATTGGGGCCGTGAAGGGAGTGGCAGGATACGATGTCAACGTCGGCGGGCAGGTACTTTTCGAAAGCCTTGATCTCAGGATCTTTACAGGACGTTTGGCCACCAACAATGGCGCCGAGCTTGGTCGCTAGAAACGAAGTACGCGGTTAAGCTCAAGTCTACGTGACGGGGAGAGAGGTCATGGCAACACACATGGACCGTACTGGGCGACGACACGATCGATGACCGCCGCCTCAACACTGTATATGATATAATCGCTGGCGCGAGACACGAGATGACCGTTACGGAGAATTTGTATATTTTTCTAGAAAGCAAAATATGAAGACTCAGCACTGATTCTGCTGTAGAGAGATCGGGCTAAATGTGTGCGACCGTACATTCCCCTCGAACTCTTGTACCAGCTCATCATATTTCTCTTCCCTATCGCAGGCCATGATCCTGGAAGGGATCGTTAGCCAACCGATTCCTGATCATGCTGTGACACTAAGAACCTGTTGATATCTGGTCAGCGCAAGTCCCTTACATATGCTGAAAGATAAAGATGTGTTAAGATGTGTTTGTTTCAGACGAAAATTGTAAGGTAGCTGAGATTTTTCATCATGGAAAGCTCCCTACACAAACTGGGACCGGAACGGTTGACCAGCCGTGACAGGCGCGATACTCTAGCCAAATGCACTCAAGTCATCATATTAGGGGGTGGTGGGGAATGAGAAGAACTGTTGCAACATACCATTTGAACAACTGCGAAATGTTTGTTGAAGGTTAGTCGCGGTGACAGGCTCCGCGAAGAGCCTGGGCGGGATTGACGACGATGAGACGAGCGAGGAAGAATTATTACCTCCAACCTGCGCTGCTAAGTCTCCGGGCATACATCTTGCCCATATCGCCCATTCCAATCAGGCCGACAGTGAAGCCGGTCATATTGGGGGGTTCCGATGTCGAAGCCATATTGACGCGTGTATTGTTTCTTTCCAGCAGGACCGGTCGCTTGCGGCAGCTATCACATCGTCACACAGGACCCTCGGCACCAAAGAAGCACTCGCTCGATGATCGCGCGAGAAGCAATGGGTGAGGCTGCGTTGCTGTTGCTGGCTTTGTGGTACGGAAGGAAGAAATTTTCAATTCGGGAGGCCGCAAGGTGGGATTTTAAAAACGACTGGAAAAATCCCGTCAGTGTGCTTCGCCCCACTTTGATTTGCACTTGAAAGCTCGGACCATCTTCCCGACACCGGAAATGGAGCCATCCCTCCGAACTTGGCCTCCGAACCACAACTCCACCAATGTCCCGGCCCGGCACCGGCTGTGCGCGGAGGCTGCAATGAATGCCGTCGTCATCCTTAGTTGCCACGATCAAAAGACGGGACAATTCCAGGAAAACATCGACTTATCATCATTCCGCCTCGCTCAGTCCATTACTCAAGAAGTCGTATCAGAATGCTGCTACTCTTCGCTCTTGGGTCTAATGGTTCCGGCCAGCTAGGCATCGGCCACAAAGAAGACGTTTCCGTTCCAAAGGATGCCCAATTTGATGCAGACCTTCCGGCTACTGCCTCCATCACTAAGATTGCTGCAGGAGGTAACCACACAATCGTTTTGACTACGGCCGGCGACATCTACTGGAGCGGAGACCCGAATACCGGTGCCTGTGGCAAGTTCACTCAAACACAAATCTCGCAGCCTCCTCGATTTCACCCTGTCGATCTTTCATCTGTATCAACACCCCAAAACTCATTCAGGGTAGGTCTGGTTGCAGCTGCCTGGGAAGCAAGCATCTTTACCCGCCTGGATGTCCAAGGTCGCAACACCAGAGTCTACTCTTGCGGCACCGGCCTGAAAGGCGAGTTGGGCTTGGGCACTTTCATCTTCCGTACGGCGACTCCGTCTCTTATTCCAGATTTTCCTCCCCCGGACACGGAAGTTGTCGATCTTGCCGCTTGTATGGGCCATGTCGTTGCAGTTTTAAGCAATGGTGACGTTTGGGGTTGGGGTAATGGCCGGAAGGGTCAGATCGGAGCGCCGGAGGATATTGTTCACTCACCCCGCAAAATCGAGGGTTTGGGCTTCAAGGTTGTGAAAGCGGTCTGTGGAAAGGAATTCACATGCTTGCTGGGAAGCCCGGAAAGCGGTAACATCTTGGTCCTTGGTTCAGACAAATGGGGGATCAGGGCTGAAGTTCCGGACCAGGTTGTCGGATGGCGAGAGGTCGGTGCTAGTTGGGGCAACCTGTTCATCTTGAAGGCAGATGGAAGCTTGTTGAGCTGGGGCCGTAATGACCATGGTCAACTCGCTCCCGCGAATCTACCCCAAACCAAACATATTGCGGTGGGGAGCGAACATGCACTAGCCTTGAGCGAGGAGGGTGACGTTACAGCCTGGGGCTGGGGTGAACACGGCAACTGCGGACCGCTCAGTAGTTCGGATGCCACAAAGGGTCAGCAGAACGTTATTGCGTCGTCCAAGTTCATTCCTTCGGGCGCTAAGATAACCACCCTCGGGGCCGGCTGTGCCACCAGTTGGGTGGCAGTACAGATGCCGTCAACCTAAAGCCTTGGGAACAGTCAAAGATATGCCGAGGATGACTGATAAGTCGTATGTTACAGTACATGAACCAAACCACCCCTTTAAGCACTGCTCGGTTTACTTGGTCAAGAGGAAAATAAACCAAAGCGCCGAACCTGGTTGCCAGTTAGCCAAAGAATAGACATAGGAGACAACATGATACATGCCTCGGAAAGCTGCTGGGTTGGCTCGAGTCCCCCAGTAAGTCTGTCTGGCTCATTACCGGGCACAGCCGGTCTTGCCAGTAAACTGCTAATTCGCAAGGACGGCGGATTCTAGAGTGGATGTTAGCCATCTTTTTCGTGGCGACTAGAAGGAAATGACGTAGAAGTACCGGTTCGCCCGTTGCATTCCACTCGACTCTAGCGTTGTCCATCTCCTCTTCATCCTCACGATCCACGGGATCCCATTGCCGGTCCTCGTCGCCTTGCTCAACGAATAACGGCGAATCAGATCGATCAGTCTTGGCGGCCACCGGGGTTCGAGGCGGTATGGGTGGTGGTCGAATTTCAAATTGTGTCTGTCGTGGTCGTGGCGGTGTCTTTTGTTGAGGAGGCTTCTGCGCTGGCTTTGGAACGTCTTTGGCCTCATTGTTTGCAACAGAGCCGTCAGGCTTTGACGCAGGACCTGGTCCCGGACCCGAACCCGGTTTTGGGGTCTTTGAAGCCCTTGCCCTGGTACTTTTGTGCTTCTGGGTCATGGCATCCTGTTCTCCAACCGTCATGAGGATGAACTCACACAGAATACCGTCCGCACTATAAGATAATTTCATCGGGCGTCCGGGCTCCGAGTAGTAGGTTGCGAGCTCTCCGCTGATTATTTGAGCGTGTTGGAGAATGGCTCGGAAATCCTTGACACTAATGATGATGTGAAGTTTGTCTTGGACTTCAACCTCGTTAAACTCGGCCATTTCTACAGAAATGTTGGTGTGAAGCGGCTTCTTGAGGACAGCTTTTCATGCCATTGTCAGCATCATCCTCCAACTTGGCTTGAAGGGAGGTCTTACAAACCTTCATTGCCATGAGGGCCGCGTTTCTGCACCTTGTCCGTGAAGCAGGTAAAGTTCACAACATGATCATCGTCATCCGTGTTGATATCAAGCAATTCAATACCCGGACCGAAATGATCCATGAGTTGTCGCAGTGTGCTAGATGAGATCGACCAACGATTCCCAGCCTCGTCCTTCTCAAACTTGGCATGAGTTGGTGGCTTTGGTTCGAACGGTAGAGAATGAGACGCGGTGATTCCTGTAACGTTGTGAGCTTTGTAGGTATGATGACTATGATCGGAGCGTTATGTACCGTTCCTGCAAGAGATTCTTGCAATCAAGCGGCTCTTCTTGCCAGGGCCATCTTCAATGGCAACATCACAGCGCTCGATGGAAGCATCTTTATCCCGTGCAGAATCACCACCTTGGCGAGACCGAAAGATGGACAAGAGGGACTGAGAGAAATTGTTGGTAACTACCCAGGGGACATAGGTCTAGGAGCGACCACTCACCCGGACGTAGAGTTGGCAGAAGAATCTGTCTCGATACAGGGCATTTCCCTCGAAATGGTAACGGGAGAAGAACCTGTTAGCGGCAAAAGTGAAGCAAACGTATGCTGACTTTGAAATGTTGAGAGTAGTCAAGGTAAGCTAAGAGACAGATAAATTAGCAGCTGTATCATGATCTCAAGAAGGGAAGATTTGTTGGTGAGCCCTCTATGAACGTACCTTGTCCCTTCTTGCTTCCAAGCAAACATCATCACTGAACTTGTACATGCAGGCGAGGGCGTCGTGGAAAACAGACACGCCCTCCTCGCTGAGCGTGAAGTTCAAGATCACCATTTTGTGGCCGCCGTCGCAATTAGTCGATCTACTTTTATTCTTTTGGCCAGGAAGAGGTTTCTCGGGTCCAAGTCCAGCTACACACTTTCTCGCATCCAGTCAGCGAATTCTGTTGTGATGGCCCGACAGAAGGGCAGGAGCCTGCAGTGGCCTGGAGTCTGATGGAGAATAAGTCGAGGCCGAGTGCAGTTGCCTTGGAGTGCTCATGCGTGACACGAAACGCTGTATCAAGAGCAAGTGAACAATGATGGATGGAAGGTGCAAGGGAACTGTGATGGTTGCGCGGCTGCTCCCAGAGCACTCGCAAGGGACCCGACCGCGTCGAAGCACATTTGGGGCGGTAAATTCCAGTGCCTAGCACTCTAGCCTAGCTCTAGAGCCCTCTAAGATAGGTACACACAGGGACCGATCGACGCTCCCGTCACCTCGCCGGACTTCCTGCGCGACATCCATACCTCTACAACTACTGCCCGTAGCCCGGTCTTTCAGGTCAATTTCTCCCACTTGCGCCTTGTTGCAGCTTGAACTAGGTCCCGTCGAGCTCACAAAAAGCAAAAAGCTCCCATGGACTATTGGTGGTACGCGCGGGAGTTCCTCAGAAATATTCAAGTGTACACCTTTTCTTCTGTTGAATTCCCGTTTGGTATGGGACAAGTGATTTGATACTGTGAAAGCAGCAATAGGTACCTCTAGCTCAACCTCATTGGCTCGGCTGCCTATCATTGTCAATGTGGGGGCTGTTGGATATCCGAGTCCTCAACTTGCTCCGAGACCTGACACACGTCAACAAACGCAATTCCGAAAACACCCTGTTTATTAGAAGCTGTGAAGCAAATCACACATGCATTTATGAATTCCACCAGTGAGCGCGCTCTGATGCCTTGAGTATGCGCGCACATGTGACAAGGGGCCTTCAGTACCCTAGGTATTGATTTCGAGTACAAGAAATCGCCATTCGGTCGTTTTCGGAATCTATCTCCAGTCCTCTCTCTGTCCAAACCGCCCAGATCGCTCTGACAATTCGCAAACGATTGTTTCATCTTCTGCTTTCCCCTCCCAAACAATAATCTACTGCTTAGTGTAGACCCTTTACTGGATCTCACCGTGAGGCTCGGCAGAAACTGTCCGTTTTGGCAAGTTCGTCCACACAAGTGCATCACAGCAACCCATTTGCCAGGAGAATCACATCCAGCAAACCAACTTGTCCATAAGCATCACCGTTGACGCGGGCATTGTCACGGGATACCTTGGATTTTCGCTTCAGCCGCTCCTCCACAACCAGCATAGGCCGTCGAGACTGTTCAAGACTTCAGCCAGTCACGCTGGTAGAATCATTCTGCTTGTCGAGAGGAACCCATACTTCCACAGTTCTTTCGAGTTGCGCGTTAAGGTTCGTAGTGCTTTCTCGTCCCTCCCTTCCATCACAGTACCTATTCCCTTAACTGCTCCTTCAGCCCCCTTCAGACGTACAATGTTTTCTGACTTTTGCCCAGACAAACTTAAACAAAACCATTTGCTTCCGCCGTGCCGTGGGTAGTTATACCGCATTTCGCATTCCCACGTCCACTTTATTGATTGTTTCGTCTTGGTCTCAATAGTTGCCATGACCTTCCCGGGCTTTCCCACAGAAATTTGGTGGCTTATTGTTGACCAGGCTGCCAGTATAAAAGACGTATCAACAATGTTTCTCATTGCTCGTCTTAATCGTACCATGGCATGCTTTGCCTTGCCGCTAATGTACGGCATTGTCAAAGGGTTAATCTATGACGACGCGGACAGGCAGTCGGTCTGCTTCTGGAGGTCTATCATTGTGTCCAGCCTGGGGAAGACCTTATATCCGTACTGCTGTTGGGTTAAGACACTTGACTTCTCCGACCTCCTCAACTTCCTCCAAAATTTCGATAAATCAGAGGATGCCCAACTGCGTTACACATTTTACAGCCCTCCACTTCGCTACCTACAACTACTCCAAATTAATATATCCAACCAAGACCATCTATTCGACCAAGACCATCTCGGTGGCAACGTAGGTCCACATGTGCTATTCTGTGAAGTCGTCAATAAGATCACAGAAGGTATCAAGGCTACCGTCGACCAGGAGCACGTCACTTCCCGTTTAGCCAAAGTTCGATTTCCGGACCTAGAATACCTGCCCTGTATATTGTATTTTCCTGTGTGGATTTCAAGGCTCACTGGATTGACAACGCTTCATATCCACGACATATCTTTACTCAACGAACAGGTGATTCTGGCTATTACTCAGAACTGCTCTGCCCTCAAACATTTGTGAGCATTCTTCAGATCCCCGCCTATAACCGCATGCCACCCTTCGCGGAGGCATTCGCAGCCGTTATACTCAAAACTGAGAGCCTAGCCTCTCAATGAACGTGCTTGTCAAAAATTTGAACCACCGCGCGTTTATAACCTAGTTGCTGACCTGATGAACGTGGTAGCAAATGCTATATCATACCATGTGAGGAAGCTGAAAAACATCTCAGCAGTTTGCTGCAAACGCTTCCTCCTAACACAATCGGTATGTACGTCCCCCCGTTGAAGGTGGTCAATAAGGGCATCGGCAGCTAACCCAACACAGAATCTTTTACGGTCATACGAGGTGTTATAAGTGGCCCACACGTACTAAAGGCTCTGGATAGGCATTCTGGCTCTCTGAAGCTCATTCAGTTGACACAACTGGGAGCCAGAGCTCTGGGCGCATTGAACGAGCTCCAAAAGTGCAATGCACTAGAGAGTCTGTATCTCGACGCGTTCGTTGGCCCAGACTTTGACTTTATACGGTCAGATACAGCAGTCTACGGTCAGTGTGTGGAATGGCTGCAAAACTGCGGCCAAATGACGCACCTCAGCTTGGGCTTTTTCCCTGGTGGCACGCAACTTCTCAAAGATTCATTGACAGGGCCAAAGCTCCGTCTTAAGTCTCTCACCCTGATGTCAGTTGAGGCAAATGCGCCCTGGTATAGTGAGCTACATCACCAAACGAAACTTGAGTACTTGAACGTTGAAGTCCCACAGCTAGAGTTTCAGGAACTTGGACCCGCCACTGGGAGATGCCAGGGCCTTGCCGCAGGCATATCGCACTGTCCAGAGCTTAAAGAACTGGAGACGGAAGAGTATCTCTCGGTCGCAGATATCAGCATGATCAGCGAAGGGGCTTTGAAGTTGGAAAAAATCAGCTTCAGCGGGAGTCTGGTCCATGATGCGCACATCATGCCACTTGCAACCCTTCCGCGCCTTAAGGAAGTATACGTCACAGGTGACTCGGCCTTCACAGCCTCGGGGATCCTGAAATTCTTCAAAAAGATGGAAGAAACCCTCGACCATGACCATCAGGGGTTTGAATTCGGCGCGGCGTTCCAGCAAGGCACTTCGATTGGACAGAGAGAGTACAAACGCCTTCGTAAGGCAGCCAAGCGAGCCTTTGATGGAGATGTTGATATCCAGTTCATTGACTCTGACGGAGAAGATTACTAATTCCCGGATAACCAGTGTCTCGGTAGCTCCTCAATGCACGGAAACTGTGAATGACTGATACCAACGAGGCCGCAGCTCAATCAAGGAGTTGGGAGGGCCCCTGATAAGGGAGAAAATCAGGAGTGGCTAGCATGTTCACATGATGTTTGTTGCCGGTCATGAAAAAGAAAAAGCACGGAGAGAGAAATCATATGCGAGGAAGAAATCTGATGTACATCTTCGTTCGAAACTTCCGGAGCAAGATCATGTAATATAGTTTGCAGTACTATTTGCGCTTATGGGTACGTTTTGCAGGACCATTTCTATGATAAACTGGCATTTCTTTTTATATCCGGACCAAAGCAGGCACGTGTTGCAATAAATGACCGTCTCATCCACTTCGTGTCCCCATGTGAATGGACTCGAGCGAGTGGTTACGAAAATGGAAAACGAAACATGTCCACCACAGTCCATTTCTGATATCATGTTCGACGTCCAGCACTTTCTCTGCCTATATGCTCTGACTTCGAAGTTACATTCCAATACCTTGACACCTTGCTCAGGTGTTTTCGACTATCCACAACGCATATAACGGCTTTTGTCAAGATTCTCTTGTTTCCTTTTCGTCCTTTTTTTGATATATTTTTTCCTGGTTCAAGGGTGGCCGTCCCGCGATCAAACTCAATAATGCTGATAGGGGTAGCTTGTTTGACAGATCAAGCCTCGGATGACACAGTGGCTTGTATAGAGGCTCAGCAGGAAGAAAGGAGACTTGAAGTGTCGTATGTACAAGGAGAGATTATTTAAGCTGGGTTAGGGTTATAAGTTGGAATATCAAAGGTGGAAATTTACCACAGCGAAATGGGAAAGATATCTTTCCATTGTTACCCTCATGTGACTTGGTATGTGACCACTTTTTATCTTAGTACGTAAAACAGGGTAGCCCGACTCTGGCTAGCTTTAGAAATGCACAGAATCCCCCAAACAACGATCATTTCATGGATAATGAGACTGGCGGTCTGTTGACTTGTTTCCGAATGCGGTAAGCTGTTTACATTTCCATTTCGTTACTGGCTCAGTACTACAGAACGTGGGTGTTGTGCACGGACAAGCGCACAGGTCCTGAGAGCGAATGTAAACGCGGAAAATGTTAGGAATTGAAAAGATGCCATATTTACTGTGTCTATCAACCCCTACCCTACGGTGGGCGGCTGGAAAAAAAGAAAACAAAGCAGCTCGTGCCAGCTGAAGCTTGAATAGAATGGATATATCTCCTTGCCTCTACATATTCTAGCGATCGTTGATAGCTGTTCCTGCTATTCACACACTGTGACGGCATGCAGTCATAATGCGGTGCGCGACCTTGGACCGGAGCCTTCTACGTCTTTCTACATGACCCCACTCCTCTGGTGTAGTGTTGAATATCGTCAGGAGTTATGGACCCCGCCATAACACAAGCTGGCCCCCTCCCCTCCTCTTCCGCTCTCTGCTCCATACATGGCAACTTGCTTGGAACCAAATCTTTACCCGTATTTGCGCAATTCTTTGACACTGCTTCACTTTCGCGACTTGCACACCAGTCAAGTATTTCAGAAGCGCCTCTCCAATTCGAACATCTAAATCAATAGTCAGAATTACTGCTCGCCGCAAAGCGTCAGGATGCCGGTCGACTACAGCAAGTGGGTAAGTTACCCTTTTTTTTGGCCACCATGAGTGCTACTCGTGGACAGATGCACTGACATGCCGACTCAGGATGCGCTGGAGCTCAGCGATGACTCTGATGTCGAGGTTCATCCCAACGTCGACAAGCGGTCTTTCATTCGCGCCAAGCAGAACCAGATTCATGCGGAACGTCAGCAACGCAAGCTCCAGATCGAGACCCTCAAGTACGAAAGAATCATCAATGATACTCTGATCAAGCGGATCTCCTCCCTTCTTGCCTCTCTCAAGGCTCATGCTTCGGAAGTCAGCTCGCGCAACCCAGGCGAGGTGGCCTTTCAGGCTGTCATAGAGTCGGCCGCTGGTCTAGATCCCAAGGATGACCAGCCCCCACCAAGGCCTGCCGGTGTTCACAATGCAGAGCAACCCCTGCCTACGTACACCAAGATGATGGCCACGCTTCTTGACGATGTGAACAAGACTTTAGAGGAGAAGAAGGTAGAGCAAGACAAGAGATACGAAGCTACCATCGCGGAAGTGGAGGAGCACCTCAAGAAAGTCACAAACCTACAGGGCGAGTTGCTCAACAAGCTTGACGAGTTGGAAAAGATTGACAAGAGCAAAATTACGAGCGAGTCTATCCACACGGGCTTTGACAGCACGCACATCAACAAGGCGAAGGCCTCTACCTCAGGAGACAAGAAGGAGACGTCCAAGGTCGAACTTCTAAACCCGAACTACAGCGCCACCGATAGCCTACCTGCACCCAGCACGACTACGAACGATGATGACGATGATGCTGAAATTGAGGCTTCTCCTGCCGCCAAACAATTTGCTTCGATCAAGGCAGACGACTACCGGGAGTCCCTCGCCTTCCTTACGAAACACCCAGAAATCCTTACCGAAAAAGAAACCGATGGCTTGCTCGTCCTCGCTTTCGACGCACAGCTTCAGAACCGTGACGACTATGCTCGCAATTGCGTCCACCAAGCACTCCTGCTGCAGTACTGCCGGGCTTTGGGACGCGACGGCGTCGCTCTGTTCTTCAAGCGCATCACGACACAAGGCCACCAGGCCCAGGAGGTCTTCTTCAAGGATGTGCAGGACACATTTTACAAGATCAAGAATAGGGCTAGAGAAATCAACCTACAGAGGGCAAAGGAAGAGGCCGAAGGTGGCAGCCAAGAGGGTGTCGAACAGATCCAACTGCATGCGGTAGAGCCTGGTACGGTGATAAACATCAACATTCCTCCAGCTGACAGTGAAGACCCAGAGGTACAGCAAGCTAGAGCTATCTTTGAAAGCTTTAGTCCCGAGATGAAGAAGGCTCTGGAATCGGGCAAGTTGGATGAGGTGAACAAGGTTCTGGGCAAGATGAAGGTTGAGGAGGCTGAGGAGTTGGTGAGCAAATTTGGAGATGTAAGTTGACAGTCGTTTGCTCCCGTGTTGGTTTGCTGCGAAGACAGAATTGCTAACGTGAGGTCTTTAGGCTGGTGTTTTGAGTCTCGAGGAGGAAATCATTGACGCCACTACACAAGAGGGCCAGGAAAAGTGGAAGGAGATCGAAGCTGCCAAGAAGCACGCAGATGAGCCCGCTGGTGACCCGGAATGATTGATGTAAGACGCCGTCTTCGTGCCTTTCATTCTCGCTTGGAACACGTTTGGGACATAGGCATTGTAATTTCGACGGACATAGCAACGAACATAGGAACATACCAGGCTTCAAGCTATATCGAGGTCATGTGTTAGCTCTGCCCTGTTTTCAGAATTCACTATACGGATCGCCTTTTCGACCAACAAGCAGGTAGTTGGCTGTATCCTCCAACAGTCGAGTTTCTGTTACTGAGTTCTGGCTAGCATATCAGATTTAGCATCGCTCCCAACTTCACGGGATTGTCAGTTAATCGCCTTGGTCATGTCTGTAAGCAACACAATGGCCACGCAATCAGATACCAATCTTGATCAAAGAGAGCATTAATATGGTCAAGACTTGCGTGGGTGTTTTATTCGTTCATCTTGAAATCCCCCAAGCGAGAACAAGCAGCCTCTTTCTCCACAAGCTTACGTTTTCTTTGCTGAGCTGACGCAGCTGCCCAGTAAGGTGCTTGCAAGTTCACAACCTCTGGTATGGCCAGATACGATGTCAATGGTTTTACGGAATTCATCATTGTAGAGTACCTGAGTGAGAGAGTCAAGGAGCGGTGTCCCTGATGTTTCGAGGGTGTTTGAGAGTTTTATACTCGTCTGTACCTGATCGGGAAAACCATGGGACCCCTCAGTGCCATCGCTGGGGAGACCCTTTTCTGGGTCGCCAATAGCCAATCAGAATCTGCGATTCCTCTCCTGCATAGTTACCCCTGAGTCACAAACACAAAGTTGGCGGTACGTACACATATCTCCAGATTGGGAACTCCGTTCTACTTCATGGGACGCAGCCTCACCTCATTTCGGCCTCAATCCGGGGCCTTTGTATGAGCCGCGCACGCTGTGAATCTGCGAGTTCAAAAGGGCGAAGATTGAGGGTAATCGCTCGACCATTTACAGATAAGCGGGCTGGCTGACTACATCAAAGCGAGGCGCAGCACGCCTCCTTGTCAAGTTACAGCACAAGGTTGTTTCATGACGCTGAAGTTGACTGGTGAGAGGAAGTCCTTTTTTTTTCCCTCTCTCTTTTTTGGGAAACAGAGCCTCCTTGTCGTCGCAAAGACGTGGACGGGGTGGGGTGATCTTCAACTCATTAGCGGATCCCAACCCATTGGGTAAAGGTGAATGTACATGCGTACCCATGCAGATCCGTTCGAAGAGCAGTCTTTCTCTAGTGCAGAAAGAAAGGAAAGTCGGTGGATGAGGCGAGGCCGAAAACGATTGCGGAAAACTTGCATTCTTCTGCTTGACATTTTCTTTTTACTCCTTTCGATATTTCTTTTCTTTAGACTCTTCAATACTCACGGCATTTTTGGAAGTTTAGTTCTAGTCGTTTGCTTATTACACACCCTACCAGGCTCGGGGACAGAGAGCCGAGACCCTTTCCCACGATCCCAATCACCGCAACTCGTCCACGGGGGTTAATCTGAAAGTAATAATAATGCCATCACTCATCTCATCTCTGGCGACGGCGCTATTACTGGTTTCTGGAATTTGCGCCATTCCACAGGGACCATCTGGAGCCGAGAGTGGGATCGTAAGCGCGGTATCAGCAGCATCAGCATCAACGGCAGGCGTAGCCGTCTCTCAAGCAACAACAGCATCACCGTCATCGAGCAACGCCGCCAGCGATATCTCTGCCTGTAACAACTCACCGTTGCTTTGCAATCGGGCCTACAACAATGTCACTCACATGGGCGCGCACGATTCGTCCTTTCTCCGTGATGCGAGCACCAGTGACAGCTTAGCCGGCAATCAATATTTCAACGCAACAGTCGCCCTCGACGCCGGTATCAGACTGCTCCAGGCCCAAGTTCACGATGCCAACGGGACACTCCAACTATGTCACACCAGCTGCACCCTGCTAGACGCAGGGCCACTCCAAGACTGGCTGGCCAAGATCAAGTTCTGGATGGACAATAACCCCAACGAGGTGGTGACGATCTTGCTCGTCAACTCCGACAACAAGCTCGTCTCTGACTACGCCGCCGTGTTTGAGGGATCCGGTATCTCTACTTACGGCTACCAACTGAGCAACGGCAGCTCAGCCAGCAACACCTGGCCCACGCTAGGAGACATGATCACATCCAACAAGCGCCTGGTCACCTTCATCGCCTCCATCGACTACTCGCCCACCTACCCGTACCTGCTAAGCGAGTTCGACCATGTCTTCGAAACCGCGTACAACGTCCCCAGCCTGAGCGGGTTCAACTGCACCCTGGATCGGCCCAAGGGACAGGGTTCGGCAGGGGATGCTATCTCGGCGGGGTTGATGCCGTTGATGAACCACTTCGCGGACAGCCTGCTCTTGCAGGGCGTCCAGATCCCGGACGAGACGGACATCGACATTACCAACAGCCCGGATACTTCCACCACCGGAAACCTGGGCTTGCACGCTGATACCTGCGTCAAGCAGTGGGGAGTGAAGCCGACGTTTATTTTGGTAGACTTTTTCGATCACGGGCCGGCGATCGATACGGCCGATCGGTTGAATGGGATCACGGCCACAGGGAGGAAGTCGGTGTCCGGGGAGAGTAAGGGGAACACGAGCGGCGCGGGGGAGAACCATTCGCCGATGGGCATGAATGTCGCGCTGATTGCTTTTGTGGTCTTTGCTCTGGCGATGGTATAGATGATGTTGTCTGTTAATACTTGAGTGCTAGAATAATTTGGTTTGAAGAAGCTCATGCGCATGGTCACCGTGGCGTTGGGCGTAATTTTTGTTCGAAGGGTGTAATTGGTGCTTTGGGGTGAAGGTAGACTGGCCTGATCAAACTGGCCTGCGGCCTGAATAATTGGATCGACGCTCGAACTTGCTTGATGACAATCAGTACGGGTATTACACGAGAGCTGGTGATGGAGATTTTACGGTATTCTCCCCTTACCATGATTCTTGTGAGGTTATGCCATCTTCACCAGCTATATTCCTACATTAGCGCATTCCTGAGTTTCTGTCTATACCATTCGTAAATATCTCCTGTTCACTGACAGGCGACGAGCTTATCCAAATCGCCCTGCCGTTTCATCCGAGATCGTCGTTTGGTTGAGTGGAAAGAAAGAGCCATCCACTCGCATAAATGTATATGTATATATATATCTACTATTTATTCTCTTCCACGTGCCCCACCCCCTTCACCCTTCTCTCGCCCTTCATGATTAACTGTTCACTAAACGTTGACAATTAGTGAGTCATAACACAAAGGCAACTCAAAAAAGTGAATAAATCGGTGCCGTACTGTTAGGAGCAAAGAGTGTACTCCTCTGCTGTTTTTTTCATCCGAACTCTAACGCTGCCTTCCGTTTGCCTCTTCACAGGGAACTGGATGAGACTGGCAAGTCGTTGCTGAAGAGGTTCTTTTCGGCCGATTGGAGAATCACCTGCCGTCAACAGGATCGAATGGTTGGCCGCTCAGGCAGAAGAACTGTACGCTTTATCCACTACACATGAAAGTCTCCATAACCTTCAGTTCCATGCGGATAGATTCTGGCCGCTCCTTCCTTAATGCAAAGGTTGATCCAAAAGTGAACTAGAAGGTATGGTCGAGGCACCATCTCCTCGTCATCAAGTAATTCAAGCTGCTTCGCGTGAGCTTGAACCTCTTCGTTCTTCAAACCTTTTCGTGCGGTCGTCGTTTGCTCACGCCCACGAATAAATTATCCTACAACTTCGCTACCGGCACTGCAGACACCAGCGCATCCTAAATACTTTCGTACTCGGTTCTGATCGATTGTTGACACCTAAATCTGCGAGCATTTACCCCGCGCAAGAACGAAAAAGTCGAGATCTCGAGGCCATTGAGGATCTGGACGCAGTAAGCACACGGAAACAATGAGTTCATCTAGAGCGACATTCTACGCGCACCAGACGCTCAATCTCCACGCCCGATATGGACTATCGGACAACGCGAAGAAACTTCTCCGAGCTCACGACCACTGGAAGATGGGAGGCCTTGAGCGAGATCAACTGGGTCGTCTGGTCCGAATGTCTCCCGACATGCGCAAGTCAATCACAGATACCATCACCAAATGCGCCGAGATAATGCGCAAGAAACCTGCCGAGGTCAAGAATTGTATCGATATCATCCAGGCCTGTACTGAGATTCTGGATGCTGCTGGTGAGGATTATTCATCATGATCCAGTTCATCTGTACTGCATAAATTTGGTACCGAGACCCATATGCTAATAGTGCTGTTGACCAGACAAACCGCCCGATTTGGAAGGCTTCCCATTCCTAAAACTACCCGCCGAACTACGTCAGAACATATATCGCTGGTACGCCACCAAAATCGCAGCCACGACGTTAGTTGCCTATTCGAACGAAGTGGGTTGCGACTGCGGCAAATGGACACCTCCAAATCCTTCAACTCTCCCTGCTATACATCGCGTAGACATGGCGTTGGCTAGGACCTGCAGTCAAATCAAGTCCGAATACCTCGAATTCATCTATCACAAATACACCTTATATTTCGACTGCAGCTGTGAATTGAACAAGCGCTTGAAAGGCAACTCAACCTTGCGTGCCAGTCTTCGTTCAATCAAAGTCCATTGGACAGGCCCGGTGTCGGACAAAGCCTTCAGCCGTCTCGCCAAGTGCAAGGAGTTAAGACATCTTGACATAGCCATCTCCAAGTCAACCACCAATTTTGAGACTCCTAGGGAGAAGGAGATGCGGCGTTACTTTCATTCGATGAAGCCAGCTCGACTTGCGGACGCTCTGGGAATCGAGGAACTGCTCAGTATTCGAGGCCTTACGTCGGTTTGTGTGTCCCACGTGAACGGCAGACAGAGCACAAAGCGCACGGATGAAGAGCGGGCAAATCTCCAGGGGCTACTCATTTTCAAACTCCGCGTCCCCGAGCTCGACTAGGGAATAACATTCGGGAGGGTGAGGCGGTCGTGCCAGCCATGCTTTGGGCGTGGATGCCATATAGGGGGTTGGGCGGCCAGGTCAATCAAGTGGAGGAATGCGGAAAATGACCGAAGTGCAAGCGCTTGGGCATGTGGAAGCGAGCCATAATGACAACCTGTTGGGTTCTCGCTGATATGTTTGAGCGATGTCCGAATACCTTGAACGAGTATATGGAGAGTTGTAGGTGTCAGGGGCTGAATGGATCACATGAGGGGGGGGATCTCGATCTCAAGCCAGCAGTCGATATACAGCAGCAGGGTCTCGACTCTCGAGGACAAAAACGTCCAACTGGGAAGGAAGATGTTGCAACGAGAAATTGCGAAAGCCTCCATAGGGAAAGAAGAAGGTTCCGCACTCAATGAACGTCACAGAGTTTATTCTTGTCTAGTACGCAGCTCGCAAGGAGGCGCATCCTGGCTCAAGATCAACCCCAGGGCAGGATAGTTGACCGAATCAGGCATAAGACGGCATCGCACAAGACATAGTTATGGACGGCACTGGAACCTACGGTTTATCGTGTCGAACTAACGTCCTCAGTCTGGGAGGACAGAGACACATTCCGCAGAAGGCTTTTGTGCCCCAGCTAGGTCGATGATTTGGCTCTTGGTAGCAGAATGGTAGTCATTGCTTTTGGCATACATTCATGAAGAAAGACGTGACGTGCCGGCATATAGTTCACCAGACGTGCAAGCTTTGACGTTTTGAGTTGTCTTTGAGTTGCCAATGGGTGATGAAATTAGGAAGGGTGAGGTTTTGCTGAAAAATGTGTTAATTCGAAGTTCAATGTGGACCCACTTAGACGTTTCTTGACTTGCCAATTGTCAAAAGGTCCTGGCAGCTGTCAGCTATCTCGTCTACTGCGCTCTAGCACCGTTCCCTTGATACTTCAACACTTTACATCAACCATCAACACTGACATCCTTCGCAGCAAAGTTATACCGATGTTGATACGAGCAAAAAACGAAGTTGCAAACTCTCATGCCATGAGTTCGAGCAGATCTCTGCCTTTGGAAACCTTTCCTAGATGGAAAAGGATAATATCACAGCTAGGATCAATGTAGAGTTGAAACTTCGCTTCATGTCGTGGCTCTCAATCATTCCCAGATACAGACCCTCCTTCTCAGGGCTTTGTTACACCTGGAGCTGTAATTACTGTGGCGCTTCTGTCGCCCACTACGACATTCGTGACTTGGGCTATGGCTGTGCGATCGGAGGTTTGTGACGACGACGAAGTCTTGACCACTGCAATGGTTACCATAGATGGGTTATTCTAGCATTTGAGCGATGGCCGCGCGTATTTCTGGTTTCCACAGACTTCTGGCTGTTGGAGCAGGCTGAACGCATTTGTTGACTCGCTTTATTAACTTTGATAAATATGGTCACCGGCAATACCATGCATTCGCAAGAAGTTGTTGTTCTATCGAACCGTTTGTATGTGGGGTAGACTCACACAGATTGAAGTGCCCTGAGACGCGATATCTACAGGAGATCAGATCGGAAGGCAGTTGGCTGGTAGACTGGTTGAAGTGTTAAACCTGCGAAACTTCGTCGTGAACACGATTTGCTGTTGAGGTGAAGGACTACTGAACGTCAGAGGTTCTCGAAGTGAAGGGGCAAACGAGAATCGGGGTTAGGGTTAAGGCTGCGCTTGAAGCGAGACATTACAGGCAACTGACAGGCACCTGCCCGTGCACGAGCCATCTGCTTTTCACAGCATTTGCACGACACTTTTGCCCCGCCACGTGACGCACAAATTTCGAAAACCATCTGGGCTCGAATTCGACGGAGCACTTCCCACGAACCTGCGACCGAACACACAGCACAGACAATATCGAGGCGGTATCCTCGAAATCATTGCCCAAGATGTCTCTGGTGTCCGGCGAGAAGGTATGTTGCAATCCTGCAAATTCATCTCCTCCCGAAGAAGATCATGCGTTGCCCAAAAAACCCAAGGTTCTTGGCTGCGGTCGTTGTTCACCCTCTGGCGCCGTGGGGATGCCATCACGAGTGACGAGCTGGCGTCGCTGCCCACCTTCAAAACCGATGCAAATACGAAACGACATAACGCGAAAATACAAGGAAGTGGCGTTCCACGACAATGTCGCGACAAATAAACGGTTCATCGATGCGCCGGCTTCCGAATACCGATGACGGCTTCAAGCGATGTGTAGGCATGGAGGTGGATATGGCTTTGCAGTTAGCCTGTGGTTGACCGAGGATGAAGACGAGCGACATGGCCTTTGACGACAAGAGATTGCTATTCGACACAGTACGCAGGCGGTGGGCGATAAAGAGATGGCAATACGAGCACGCGACCATGAGCATTCGATTGAGCACTGAGCTTTAGGACCGATGCTTGGATATCGCGGCAGCCAAAGGAGAACAACACGGCAGAATCAAGAACCAAAACCGGCAAGCGCTGGGATGCATGATCTTCGACCGGATATCCTATAAGACGCTTTCGGATGCTAACTGTCTTTTCAGAGCAACTTCAACCACATCTTGCGTCTGCTCAACACCAAGTATGTTCATCCAGGCACCTCATGATCTAAACCATTTCGCGAATCTGGAACAGAACCGTTTTCAAGATGAGGGTCAATATGTTGAATACGGACGCTGACTTTCATGCAGCGTTGACGGCAAGCAGAAGGTCGTTTACTCCTTGACCAAGATCAAGGGTGTCGGTCGCCGCTACTCCAACCTCGTCTGCAAGAAGGCCGATGTCGACCTGAGCAAGCGTGCCGGTGAGCTCACCTCTGAGGAGCTTGAGCGCATCGTCACCATCATGCAGAACCCCACTGCCTACAAGATCCCTGCTGTACGTTTGAACCGATTTCACTCGATATGACTTCGTCGTCTAACCTTGTCTACAGTGGTTCCTCAACAGGCAGCGCGATATCGTTGACGGCAAGGACTCTCAGATCCTCGCCAACGGTGTTGACTCCAAGCTCCGTGATGATCTTGAGCGCCTCAAGAAGATCCGCGCCCACCGTGGTCTCCGTCACTACTGGGGCCTCCGTGTTCGCGGTCAGCACACCAAGACCACTGGCCGCCGCGGTCGTACCGTCGGTGTCTCCAAGAAGAAGGGCAACTAAATCTGTGCGGGCATATTCGGCGCTGCTTTTTCTGGGTTATTGGTGGTGTTATTCCGAGACGGGCAGTCATGGACATCTGGGACTGAATTGTTTCGCCTCGCGCGTATCTGGATTCTAGGTAGCCTATGGCTAATGGGGGAACTCGCATAATGGAAGACACATCATTGACAGCATGACAATAAACGGCGTGGATATGGAAAATGATTTACTCTTGGGATTTTATTCGGTCTCTATGGATGTGAAACACGCAAATCCATTGAATCCATTGCCCAAAACAACCCACTACAATTTTCGATGCCATAACGCCCACCCCATGTATATGACTTAGACTACCATAGACGAAGACCCAGAGAGTATCAGCCAGTTAAATCAAGAAACGAAGTCATGGCTTTAATCTTCGTGAGTGACGGCCATATCCAGGACCTCTACTCTTCCCTGTCCCTTGGTTTCGCTTCCGATGAAGTCAGACAAGATTTTGAAAGCACCGGGCTCTACGAAGCCCACCAGTTCCCACTCTTGGCCCATGACATCTTGGCTCTCAACCTGCTCAACGAAGCTGAGAATCTTGTCCTTGACCGTTCCGGGTGCCTTCTTCTCTCCCTCCTCGCCATCCTTGTTGGCCTCCCCCTTGGGAGCCTTGACGGCCTGTTTGAGCACATTGGTCGTGCAAGTGATGCGTAACCTCATCCTCGCCCTGGCAACGGGTATAGGCTGATGGGCAACAAGCGCCTTCATGGCCTCAAGCGCCTGCGACTTTGCGCTCTTGTTTGTCGAAACACCGGTCCAGATGGGTAGGGACTTTGTAGGCTGCGGCTTCGCCTCGCCGCTCTCGCCCGTCGCCGGCGACGCCGTACCGCTCGCGGCCGCATCCTTCTTCTCCTTCTCCTTCTCCTGCAGCTGATGCGCCTGCGAGCTGAGCATGTCCAGCGCCTTGTCGATCATGCCGGTGGTGTAGACCTTCTTGGTGCGCGGGTCGACCAGCTTGCTAGCGACGATGGAGACGACTTCGTTATGGACGCGCTCCAGCTGCGCGCTGCGCTCCTTCTCGCCCACCTGCATTTCGCCCTTTTTGAGAATCTCCAGGATGATGTCATTGACCGAGGTGTCCTTGCCAAAGGCCTTTTGCAGCTCGGCCGTCGGCGCCGTCTGGCCCTTGGACACGTTCAAAAAGACGTTGGGGATCTGCAGGACGTTGTCGAGGTCAGTCTCGATGCCGGACCGCCATTCGAGGACTTTGTTCTTGTAGCAGGCGACCTCGAAGCGTTTTTTGCCCTTTTTAAGCCGGACAAGGGAGACGTTGGTCAGTTTGATCTGGTTGGAGGGTTGTTGGATCACCATTTTTGCGGTGGTTGTGTGGTTGTCGTGAAAAGAGTATAATTCGATGGTTCGACGGTATTGATTCTCCGGGAAATGAAGCTGTTGGAAATTGTTTCGAAGGTAGTAACAGTCGGTTACATAGGATGCTGGACTAGCTTTTCTGAGTAGCTGGTATGTTTCCAGAAACCGGGCATATAAGTTGACTTCCTGCAGTTTCTCTGAGAATGCGCCCGTAAAAGAGATAACGATATGCCCGTGGAGCAGAAATTCTTGGTCGCCCGCAGCTTCCACTTTTCTCTGCTGCAGAGCCCGGGCTTTGGAAGTCTGCCCCGCCTGCCCGCCGTACTGCCCCAGTCCCCTCTGATGGATGGATGGGCCGCCCCATCGGATCCCTAGCCGAATGACGATTGACGGCGGGCAAAAAGCGGGCTTGTCAAGCACGCGATGCGGGAATTCCATTTGTCCATCGGATGAGTCAGTGGGTCTTCCTGTTATCGATACCATAACATCACGCTTGGAGGCGGGGGAGACGGGCTTGTCAGATATTCAAGATGATAAAGACTGACACGAAGTGAGACCTCTTCAGTTTCGAAGACAGGAGATGTATGTCGAAGTCATTCATTTCATAAGGGATCCTTCTTAATCTTCATTACCATTTTCACATATTCTCTGAAGCTGGCGCCTGTTTGAGTTGAACTTGCCAGGAAAGCAGCACAAAATCACCGTTCGTCTGATATCTTTCAGGGGTATCACGCTGCATAATGCGCGACCCATGAGGATTACTGGAGTTCCGTGAAGGATCATCATCTCCTCCTGGGAACAACATTTTTATATCCGGAGTTTGGAGTATCATACATGGACAGTAATTCAGCAATGAGAAGGAAATGAGTGAGTTGTTGTCGGGCGGTGGACATGGAGTCGCATCGAGGCGACCTTGCTGGCGAGGTTGAGACAATGACGAAAGGTAGCTTATCAGACAGATAGGTTGATACCAGGTTGATTGGCGCCACGTCTTGAGGCCAGACTGTACAAGAAAATAAGAGGTACACATGGCGGTGAGAGCCTTATTCGCGGCTTTCTTCACAGGCGTTTGGTGATTTTTTTGTCTGGCTGATCGGCTAGGCGTCCGTTCTCATGACCAGCGTGACCGCCCTGCAAGGTACCTGACCAATACCCAGGCATGCATTCATGTGGCGGCGCAGCGTCTATCCAATCCCATGCCAGCTTGCCCCAAATCCTGGGGGTTTCTGCTGCATCCGCGTCCGGTGAAGCTCGGTTCCGGGGCGTTTTACCTTGGCAGTTGCTTGCCCATCCATTTCCGTTATCAACCTCCTCTTCCTTCCTCTTCCTCTCTTCCATCTTCTTCTCATCATCCATCTGTATCACAACATCAATACTCCTAACACCATCACAATGAGGATCTCGGCTTCAACCGTGCTCCTCGGGGCTGCCTCGGCCGCCTCGGCCGCCTCGTTTCAGAACCAGGCCCAGCATGTCCTTGCCGACAACTTTCACAAGGCCCATGACGCCGTTAAGCCCGTCGCCGACTCGTTCGCGCACACTACCCTCGAAAGCTTTGAGGAGGCCTTCAATGGCATGAACTCCCAGGCCAAGGCCCTTTGGGACGAGATCAAGCTGCTTGTTCCTGAGAATGCCTTCGATAAGCCCACCTGGTTCAGCAAGCCCAAGGCTGCTAAGCGCCGCAAGGACTGGGACCACGTCGTCAAGGGCGCTGATGTCCAAAAGCTGTGGGTTAAGGGCGCCGATGGCGAAAAGCATCGTGAGGTTGGCGGCCAGCTCGATAACTTCAACCTGCGCGTCAAGTCGGTCGATCCTGCCAAGCTCGGCGTCGACAAGGTCAAGCAGTACAGCGGTTACCTTGATGATGAGGCCAACGATAAGCACCTGTTCTACTGTAAGTCAATCACGCTCAAATGTACTTGGGTAGTAAAAATCACGGTGCTGACTCGGACTGTCCAGGGTTCTTCGAGTCTCGCAACGATCCCAAGAACGACCCCGTCGTTTTGTGGTTGAACGGTGGCCCCGGCTGCTCTTCGCTCACTGGTCTCTTCCTTGAGCTCGGCCCTTCTTCCATTGACAAGAAGCTCAGGGTTGTCAGCAACGAGTACGCTTGGAACAACAACGCTAGCGTTATCTTCCTTGACCAGCCCGTCAACGTCGGGTACTCGTACTCCGGCAACGCCGTCAGCAACACTGTCGCTGCCGGCAAGGATGTTTATGCTCTCCTTACTCTCTTCTTCCACCAGTTCCCCGAGTATGCCAAGCAGGACTTCCACATTGCTGGCGAGTCTTATGCTGGTCACTACATCCCTGTCTTTGCTTCTGAGATCTTGTCCCACAAGGATCGCAACATCAATCTCAAGTCCGTCCTCATCGGTAATGGCTTGACTGATCCTCTTACCCAGTATGAGCACTACCGCCCCATGGCCTGCGGCGAAGGTGGCTACCCCGCCGTTCTCAGCGAGAGCGAGTGCCGCAGCATGGACAATGCCCTCCCCAGATGCCAGTCTCTTATCCGTAACTGCTACGAGAGCGGCAGTGTCTGGTCGTGCGTTCCTGCCGCCATCTACTGTAACAATCAGTTCATCGGCCCCTACCAGCGCACTGGTCAGAACGTCTATGACATCCGTGGAAAGTGCGAGGATGATAGCAACCTCTGCTACAGCGCTCTTGGCTGGATCAGCGACTACCTGAACCAGAAGGATGTCATGGACGCTCTCGGCGTCGAGGTTGAGGGCTATGAGAGCTGCAACTTTGATATCAACCGCAACTTCCTCTTCCAGGGTGACTGGATGCAGCCCTTCCATCGCCTCGTCCCCGGCATCCTCAAGGAGATCCCCGTCCTCATCTATGCCGGTGATGCCGACTTCATCTGCAACTGGCTCGGCAACAAGGCTTGGAGCGAGGCTCTTGAGTGGCCCGGCAAGAAGGGCTTCAACAAGGCCGAGCTCGAGGACCTCTCTCTTCCCAAGGCTGACAAGGAGTACGGCAAGGTCAAGACCTCCGGAAACTTCACCTTCATGCAGATCTACCAGGCCGGCCACATGGTGCCAATGGACCAGCCCGAGAACTCGCTTGACTTCCTCAACAGGTGGTTGGGCGGTGAGTGGTTCGAGCAGTAAGAGGTTCATGACCTAACAGGAATCGCGACCGGCAATCGGGGATCTTATGAGTGTATGATGGATAATGATTGATACGGGATAGGTTTTGGTTCACGACAAGGGCGTGTGTATACAACGAGGGTAAAGACCATAGGGACCTTACAGATTACCTTGGCTAGTGTCAGAGAGCTCGCGTCTGTTTGATGCTTCAGACAAGACACAGCGTGGCGTAATGGACAGCACCCGGTAGAGTTTGTATACAGAATGAAATTTGTTTTATTGTCAATAAACACTACTCCTAAGCTCATGGACACCATTTCTGACAGTCCACCTGAACAGCCTAGTATGGACAGTCATCATGATGTTGAATAGTAGGTATACAGGGAACAAGGCGCAGATGTTTGTCTCTTGCCTACAATTTTACTGTCAGATATATTTCCACGACTTGGCTGAGCCCGCCTCCACTTTCAAACCCGATATCTCGCGTTGTCGAATCTGTGTGCTTAGAACTGATGACCAGAAAACGTGCATCCGATCTGTGTGGTGCTTCTTATAGTAACCATTGTTCGTGGTAAGAGAGAACGCTCTATCTAGGGGATCTTAGTTGCGAGGGCGTTGGACACTGCTGTCTTGTGTCCGTAGAGGCAGGTGTGCTGACTTAGCGGTAGCTGTCTGGCTTTTCGAGGAAGTCGGGTTCAAGAATGAACGCATACAGTCTCATACAAACCAGACGAGCAGATTCGTTGAGGAGAGGCAGAGGCAGCGAGTAGAAAAGAAAAAGTCAAAGATGGTAATGTCATACAACATTCTGTTTTACGATATTTTGGTTCACTGGCAACCACTCAGCTCAGCTCAGCTCTTCCTCATTTCCTCATATCAAAAACTGACTGGCTCGATTAAGAGGGAGGGTACGACACGTAGGAGGGTGATAAAAATAACAATGGTTGATGGATGGGTTGGGTATGTTGAAATGAGAACTGAACTCCGGGAAGTCTAAGCAGCTAGTAATCTTGTGATGATAATCCAAATGACGATGAGCCCTAGCCAAACCAAGCCAAAGAAGGAACCATGCAACTGAAGAAAAAAAAGACAGAATGACAGACGGAAAAGGAAGCCAAAAAAAAAGGGAGGTATCATGTAGAAGGTCAAGTCTTTGTCAAGACAGGTAAACAAGAAGAAAAGAAAACACACAAAGAAGTGATAAGAATAAAGCAAGTCCCATGCAAACCTCTACTAATACACCGACACAACCGTAGTAGAATTCGCGAGTTCTTTTGTTTCCTCGGATGAGCCCAGAATAGAGTCGAGCTTCTTTCTCTTTCTTTTCCCCTCGCTCTTGGGAAGATTGAAATGGTGGTAGTGAAACCTCCTACAAAAGAAGAAAAGGAATCATAAAAAAGCATGTCTGTGTGAAACAAACTCGGAAGAATAAATAACCAACAAGAAGAAAACGAAGAAGTAGAAGAAGAATAAAAAAAAAAAAAAGAAGAAGAAGAAAAAGCCGATGGTAAAAATGCTCTCCCCCCCTCTCCCCTTCCCCCCCCCCCCCCTCCCATTGCCTTTCCTAATCATGTGTATACGTGTGTGATTTCGCCGGTGCATCCTTTCCTAATCCCAACCAACTCGATCAATCAATAATCATAAATGCATCTTTTCTCTCCAACCCCTTACTGTCCTAACCAAATAATGAGCAACCGAATGTGAATAAAAAGAAACTTCGTGTATTGGTCCACAAACCCATCCAGAACAAATCATCTTCCTTCCGATTGGGGGACGACACTGACACTCCTCATAATCTCTGGGCGTCCAGTAGGCCAGTGTCAACCAGCATCGATGCCAATTGAGAGGGCTTGTAGTCGGTATTTAAGACTTGTGGAGCCAATAATGAATGGGCCACAG